AACATCTATTAAGTCCATGTGTTCCAAAGCTTGGTTCAGTTCTATTATTTCATTGTTGATTTTCTGCCTAGTAGATCTGTCAATTTGTGATAGTGGGGTATTTAAATCCCCCACTACAATTGTATTAGTGCTTATTTGGTTTTTCATGTTACTTAATATTTGTTTTATATAGTTGGGGGCATTTATATTTGGTGCATATATGTTTATGATTGTCAGCTCTTCCTCTTGAATTGTTCCCTTTACAAGGATGTAGTGTCCTTCTTTGTCTCTCTTAATGAGTTTTGGTTTGAAATTTACTTTATCTGAGAATAAGATTGCTACCCCTGCTTTTTTCTGGACTCCTGACGCATGGAGAATTGTTTTCCATCCTTTCACTTTCAGTCTATGGACTTCCTTTTGCACTAGGTGTGTTTCTTGTATACAACATATTGTTGGATTTTGCTTCTTAATCCATTCTGCCAATCTGTTTCTCTTGATTGGTGAATTGAGGCCATTAACATTGATGGTTACAACTGATATATTTTGACTTATTCTTGTCATGTTTTTGTCCATTTGTTGACTCTTTTTACTTTTTCTCCCATCTCCTTTTAGTTTCTTGCCTTGCCTATTTGATTTGGTCTGTTGGGCCTCATGTTATTGTGAATTTCGTTGTCCTTTTCTAGGATATTGTTTAGAATTCCTTGCAGTGCTGGTTTGGTGTTCATGAAATTTCTCAGGTGCTCTTTGTCGTGGAAGTATTTTATTTCCCCATCTATTTTGAAAGAGAGTTTTGCAGGATACAAAAGTCTAGGTTGGAGATTCTTTTCTTTTAGGACTTGGAATACCTCACTCCAGGCTCTCCTTGACCTAAGGGTTTGTGTTGAAAAGTCTGCTGTGATTCTAATGGGCTTCCCTTTGCATGTGATTTGTTTCTTTTCTCTTACTGCTTGTAGTATTTTGTTTTTCTGTTGGATTTCTGGAATCTTGATTATTATATGTCTAGGTGTAGATTTTTTTTGATCGTGGCTAGTTGGGGTTCTATATGCCTCACTTATCTGTATGTCTAATTCTTCCCTTCTGTTTGGGAAGTTTTCTGTCATTAATTCTGTGAAGAGCTTTTTTATATCATTTGTGTTTTCTCCTGTTTTTTCATGAATTCCTATCAGTCTTATGTTATTTTTCTTTGTATCGTCTAGGAGTTGTTGGATTGATTTCTCATGATCCCTTACTGTTTTTAATAGACCTCTTTTTTCACGGTCACTGACTGCTATCCTATCTTCTATATCTGAAATTCTATCTTCGCAATCTTTTATTCTGTTTCGTACACTTTCAATAGAGTTTTTAATCTCCTGGATATCTGTTTGAATCTGTTTTATGGATTCCATTTCTTTCCTCTGTTGGGCATTCATTGTTTCCATGTCTTTCTTATGCTGAGTCTTCATGGCTTCTATCACAGTCTTGAGCTCATCTATTTTTTTCTCAGTTTCTGCTCTAGAGTCTCGAATCATGACTTCTATTTTGCTCATCATCTCTCTGGCTAGCTGGGAAATTATTTCTGATTTGAATTTTTCTAGAGCCTGATTGATCAATTTTGTTACCTCCTGTGCTATGGGTCCAGGGAGTCCTGTTGGTTCACTATCAGACTTTTCATCCTCATTTGTCCTACTATTTGCTATTGGTGAACTGGATATTTGTTTTTGTGTCTTGCTTAAGTGTTTTCTCATTTTTATTTTTATTGTTGGGTTGTCCTTCTTTAATTTCTGGGTATTACTTAAATCTTCCTAATATAGTTGCGTTTTAGCTTTTGAGTTTCTAATGACTCATAGACATTCTCGTTTTCATAATATCAGAGAAAACAACTCTTTAAATCAATCACCACTCTTTGTCCCAATTGATACATTCAGCAGCCCAATAGGATCAGGCACAGCTTGCCAACTGACCACTTATGGTAGTCATTAATGTATCACCTTTAACTCATGTGAATTAGATTAATTTCAAGAAGCAGCTCATAGTATGTTTGCAGTGAATATTCTTTTCAATATGGCATCTTTACCATTTAGGATGGGGGGTTCGACTTAGAACAAGAGGATTAGATAAGTGAAAGAATTAGAGCAGGTTTGAAGTGAATCCAGAGGTTGTAGAATTACCTTACTATCTTTACAAAGCTATTAAGTTCAGGGGGGATAGAGAGAGTGCAGGAATAAGGACAGGAATATATCCCCTTAACAGTAACAGGCGCTTGCCTTCCCTTGAAGGTACAGAGCCATGAGTGAGGTAAAATGACTGGAGAAAAGAACATAAAGAGAAACCCGTCCTAAAAACAAAAAATAAAAAAAGAAGTCTGAGTTCTTCAGGAACTGGAATAAAAAGGGAGATGAGGGACACTATGGTGGAGCAAGAGACTGAGTTGTAGAGACAGGACAGAAAAAAGAAAGAAATTTTAGGGTGGAAAGAGGAAAAAAGAGAAAAGAGAGAGGGAAAGAAAAAGAATTTGAAGGTCCTCTTTCAGGCTATCTCTGATCTCATATTATACCACATGCACAGTCATATGCGGAACCCAATCCCCTGGTCTTAGCTAGCCAATGGCTGTTCCTCACGACTGAGACTGAACACAATCTACAAGGCCTAACTTTAGTTTCCTTACCCTCAGGGTTGAACTCCACTCAGTTCTATTACAGGTTTCCCCTGCCCTTTCTCTAAAGATGTTCAAAGTTGGGAGCTCAGAAAACTACCCTTCATGGGAACCTCTGCCTCTGCAGAGTTGGTCTAAGGACTGGCCCGATCAGGAGTTTTGAGAATGGGGAGGCTGTCGTGTGGGTGTTTCAAGGGCGCCCGTGTGGCTACCTTCCTTCCTGCTCTGTTGTCGCGCAGGCCGGAAGCTCCCACGCAGGCCGGGAGCTCGTGCGCATGCTGCCGGGTGATCGCAGGCAGGCAGGCAGTGAGGCAGCTGAAGAAACTCCCTCCGGGGTCTTTGGGGCCTTCCTGGTCTGTTGTCACGCAGGCCAGGAGCTCCCGCGCATGCCGCCATGTGATCGCAGGCAGGCAGGCAGCGAGGCAGCTGAAGAAACCCCCTCCGGGGTCTTTGGGGCCTTCCTGGTCTGTTGTCGTGCAAGCCAGGAGCTCCCGGACAGGCTGGGAGCTTGCGCGTATGCCGCCAGGTGATCGCAGGCAGGCAGGCAGACAGGCAGCTGAAGAAACCCCCTCCGGGGTCTTTGGGGCCTTCCTGGTCTGTTGTCGTGCAGGCTGGGAGCTCCCACGCAGGCCGGGAGCTCGC